CTTGGATCCTGGTCTCTGGCTGGAACGAGGGTGAGGATGGGCATTTCTGGTCCACTTCTCCCTGCTCTGTATCCTCAGTTCAGTGTTCATGAGAGAAATACTTCTTTAGTTTCTTTCAGTGACTTTTTTTCATCCCAATCCACATTCCCACTTGGGTGATTTGTGATGACCTTTGTTTTCCCTTCTCTGTTCAGTTCAGGTCAGCAAGGACTGAGTGCCTGTTGGGACCAGGTGCTGTGCTGGGCTTTAGGGAGACGGCAATGGGAGAGGCAGAGGCAGCCTGGTGGAGTGAGGTCCCGGGACTCCTTCACAGCCGTGTGAAATACTAAAGATCCCAAACAGCTTTTGTGTGGATGGGTTATATCTTTTGATCTTTACCATATTCGAAATGGAAACTGAGAAGTTAAAGAAATATTTATTAATTTTTTTTAAAATAAAAAGCATTGTATATTCACATAAATAACATATTTTAATGGAAATAACTTCATTTTCCAAAACAAATAGATTTAGTGAGAAGAGTGACATTGTTTTTATTTTTGCAAATCTTTTTTTTTTAAATAATAAAAATTTTATTTTATTTATTGAATCAAAATCGATTATACATATTTTGGGGGTTGAACATGGAGATATGTTGATTAAATCAATATTAACTAGCATATATATTGTTACAAATCATAATTATTCTTTATGCCCCTTGTCCAATTTCTCCTTCCCCCATTCCCTCCCCCTCCCCCCTCAAATTACCCTAGATTTCTTCTCTCCTTCTGAAAGAATAATGGTTACTCTGTTAACTTGTCGCCTAGATGATCTGTCCAATGCCGAGAGATGTGATCAGGTCCCCCAATATTATCATAGAGCAGATGCTTTTTCACTCTGAAATGGGTTTTATGGAAAGAGACATCCTCTTCTTTTCTTTGTCTCTGCTGATGACTCTTCTTGTGTGAATGCACTCCCGTGGTTGGCGGACCATTCGTGTGGTGGCTGTGGCATCTAGCTGCTTTAGCAGCAGCCATGGTTATTGTGGTGGCTGTGGTGGGCCACTCACGTGGAGGTGCTGTTTTTGGCACGCTCCTTGGCACTGGCGGTATGCCTGGTTGTGGTGTGTTTGGTCCCCTTCTCCATGCCTCTGGTCCCTCGGCAGGCCCCAAGGCACTGGCGCCATGTGCCTCGTTGCGGGAGAGGGGTCCAGTCCCCTTCTCCATGTCCTGGGTCCCTGGACAGGGCCCAAGTTGCTGGCGCAGTGTGCCTGGTTGTGGGAGAGAGGACCATTCCCCTTCTCCTTGCCCCAGGTCCCTGGGTGGGCTCCGAGGTGCTGGCATGATGTGCCTGGTTGTTGGAGGGGGGTCCAGTCCCTTTCTCCATGCCTTGGGTCCCTGTGCGGGCACTGAAGCTCTGGCGCGGTGTGCCTGGTTGTGGGAGAGAGGACCATTCCCTTTCTCCTTGCTCCAGGTCCCAGAGTGGGCTCTGAGGTGCTGGCATGTTGTGCCTGGTTGTGGGAGGGTGGTCTGGTCCCCAACTCCATACCCTGGGTCCCTGGGTGAGCTCCAAGGTGCTGGCTCAGTGTGCCTGGTTGTGGGAGAGAAGTCAGGTCCCCTTCTCCTTGCCTCGGGTCCCTGGGCAGGCCCCTAGGTGCTGGCATGGTGTGCCTGGTTGTGGAAGGGTTGTCCAGTCCCCTTCTCCATGCTTCAGTTCCCCAGGCTGCCCCCGAGGCACTGGTGCAGTTTGCCTGGAAGTAGGAGTGGGGTCCGGTCCCCAGATCCAAGCCTCCAGTTCCCAGGCAGGCCCCAAGGTGCTGGTGGTGTGCCTGGGCTGGAACTAATTTTTTGTCCTTTGCTTCTAACATGGGGGAACTTCCTGTGGGAACTAGTACTTGAGCTGTGTGGTTGTTTAAATTACTACTTTGCTGCTGTTTCCCCAGGGAATGCTTTTTGTGCAGCTCAGGGTTTAATGGTTGAGCTTAGAGGTACTTCTGGCTCTCCAGAGACCTGGTGGATATTTGTTCTGTATAATCTCTGATCTGGGCCTGAGTTTTTTCAGCAAATTGCACCCCATGCAATTCTGCATTCCTGACTAGTCTCCTTTGAGTGGTCCTGTGCTGATTGGGGGGCAGATCAGCTGTCCTTGCTGTGTCCCAGTGTTCCCCTGGTGGGCACGTCTCCCCCACCGCTCGTGCTACCAACACTTCCCATGGGATGGGCCCTGCGCCCGTCTCTTGCGATGACTCACCAGCCTCTGAGTGGCTCCCTTTTTTCAGTTCTGGCTCCTCTCTCCTGTGTGGGTCCATGTGAACCCTATTAGTGGTCTTGCTATCCCGGGGGCCATCAAGGCCCTCTTCTCCCTTGCTGCCTCCAAGTTAACTAACTCCATCTGAAGGGCACAGCTGAGGCTCCTGCTGCCTCCTGCTCCATGTGCTCAGCAGCTTGAGCCTTAAAGCAGCCACGGCCCGAAAAGCTCAGAGCAGCTTTTTCTTTCTCTCATCGTAGTTTCTCTGTCCTTCATGAACTCCGTAGGTCTCTCCTCCTCTTCCCCTGAGCTCCAGCGGCCCCAGCTTGGCTGATGTTACATTTTTATAGTTGTAAATTTGGTTGATTTGTGGGAGAGAGTGATGCTGCGGAATGTCTATTCTGCCATCTTGATTGGATTTTGAAAATCCTTTTAATAGCAATTTTTTTCTTTTGCAAATCTTGTTAATGTCTGAGTTAATAGAAAACAGCTGGATTCTCATATTAACTTCTGTATTAAATCTTTTGCAAAATCACGTGTCCAGTATCCTCTGGAAAACTCCACTGGACACTTGTGAAAGAATGAGAATGAAAAGGGCATATGTCTTAGGGGGTTGAATCTGTTTGGGGATCTTTGAGCCTGCTGGATCTGAAGGTCCATGTCTCTCCCTATACCTGGGAAGTTTTCCGTTATTATTTTGTTGAATAGTTTTTCAATGCCTTTTCCTTTCTCCTTCCCTTCTGAAACACCCATGATTCAAATGTTTGTGCGCTTAAGGTTGTTTGCTAGCTCTCTTAGATTTTCTTCATTTTTTAAGTTCTTTTTTTGTCTGCCTGAGTTATTTTAAAAAGACTGTCTTCAAGATCAGAAATGCTTTCTTCTGCTTGTTCTAGCCTGCTGCTTAAGTTCTTGGTTGTGTTTTTTATTTAATTGAATGAATCTTTCAGTTCTGTGAGTTCTGCTAAACTCTTTTTAAAGGTATTAATGTCTTTGTAAATTTCCTCCTTCATATCCTGGATTTTTTTCCTCATTTCATTATGTTGTCTGAGTCTTATTGTATCTCAGTGAGTTTCTTTAAGGTTGTTGCTTGGAATTCCTTTTTAGTCATTTCAAGGGTTTCCTGCTCTATAGAGTCTGGTATTTGAGAATTACTCTATTCTTTTGGTGGTGTCATTTTTTGTTGGGTTTTTGTATTTCTAGTATCTCCATGTTCATGTCTGGTCATCTGGTAGAGTAGTTTCTTCTTCTGTTACTTTAGAACGGGCTTTGAGGAAAGACGTCCTCTTCCTTTTGCAGTCTCCACTGGTGACTCTCCTTGTGTCAGTGCAGTCAAGTGGCTGGTAGGCTGCCTGCATGGTGGCTGTGGCTGCTAGTGTCCCGGTGAGCTGCTTTTGTGACAGACATGGCTGTGGCGATGACTGTTGGGCCACCCACATGGAAGTGGTGTTTTCGGCGTGCTCCTGCCTGCTGCTGGGTGGTGGGGGCTGCCCTCTGCTCCTGTCTGCTCACATTAGTGTGTTTAATTGTAGGCTGGCCAGTTAGCTCAGTTGGTTAGAGCATGGTGTTGTAACACCAAGGTCAAGGGTTCAGATCCCCTTATCAGCTAGCTGCCAGAAAAGAAAGAAACTCATGGTCTACTGGGCTGGCCAGTTAGCTCAGTTGGTTAGAGCATGGTGTTGTAACACCAAGGTCAAGGGTTCAGATCCCCTTATCAGCTAGCTGCCAGAAAAGAAAGAAACTCATGGTCTACTGGGCTGGCCAGTTAGCTCAGTTGGTTAGAGCACAGTGTAGTGGCAACAAAGTCAAGAGTTCTGATTCCTGTACTGGTCAGCTGCCAAAAACAAATGAAAAGTGTAGTATGCTTATTATAGATTCAAGGAGGTGTGATAAACGGAGATGATAAAGTGATTAAGATAATGGTTTTTATTTTTTTTTATTTTTATTTTTTTTTCCTTTTTTTGTCTTTTTTCGTGTCCGGCAACGGATCGCAACCCTCAGTGTCACGCCCGTACCGGATCGGGACCAGCAATGGGATCGCAACCCTTGGTGCTGCGCCCGCACCTCGCTCAGCCAGTGAGCGGGAACCGGTCTGTATGTGGGATCCGAACCCTCGGCGGGAGCGCCGCCGCG